TACATAAAACAAAAAAAAAAACTCTTTTTCCACGAAATTATATAAAAAAAAAACTTGTGAGAGTCATTTTCCCCTATAAAGACAACCCCACCTTCCACTCGACACCAACAGAACAACAAGAACAATCTCTCACACTTACACACTCCTTCACCTCCCTCCTCCACAAGAGAGAGAGAGAGATGGGCGGAAACAAGAGATCGCAGGGCAAGAGATCGTCGTCATTCTCGCTGCTGAGCTTCTTCAAAGGGAGGAGGACGCAAAGGGTGGAGCACGACACGCATGCATGGGGAGAGGACGTGGGTTACAGTCGAAAGGTATGGGCGAGCGACGAGGATAAGCGTAACTGGGTGGCCGAGCCCGGCATCGACCGCAAAGCTTCCGCCTTCATCGCCAAGTTCCACGCCACTCGCGTCTCTGAATCCGAACGCCAAACTCTTCCTCCTTACCACCAACCGGTCGACAAGGCCTGATATTTAACCATATGATAAGATCACATCTCTCAAGCTATTGTGTGTATATATATATATGCCTTCTTCTTCCAATCTCTTCCGACAAGTCTTTGTCCTGAAATTTGTTTATTCTGACTCAATATTGTAGTTACATAATCTCTCTTATCTGTGTTATAATATAATCCACTGGAGCTTTCTTATTCTCTCTCTCTCTCTGTTGGCCGATATGCCAACGCAGAAATAAAGAGATATCTTGCCACAATATAATGCCACAATATCTTCATGTGTCGGTCCATCATCTGGGTTTGAACTCCGAGAGAGATGTAAATCTCGATCATCACCGGTTATGTTCTTGTCATATGTGTATTACATACTTTATGATAAAGTAAGATTCTACATTGTATTTTCCTATAGGCATGATTCATGACATAAATATCTGTTTTCGTTCCTTTTTGAAACAACAAATATATAATGGACCGAGTGTGAATCTTCCATTACGAAAAGGGTTGTATGAATTTCTTATTTGTTTTCAAATACTTTAACCCACAAATCCTTAAATAAATGCAAGACGTGATTAAAAACAATATATGTACGAAACCATTAACAAAGAAAGATGCTATATATATATATATATATATATATATATATATATATATATA